TTGAACGAGTCCTTCAGAAGCATCCTATTATTGTTTAGCCTGCATGGCAGGCGGTTCCTAAAATTGGGCAAGCCTGGGAAATACCGCCTGCCATGCAGGCTAATTATTTTTATCCTTGTTAAACCATTTATTGACAGTACCCTACCACTGACTGAGTATTAAAAATCGTCTGGCGTTGGACAGGGTAAATACTAAAGTGGGGGTCATTACTGTGCTGATGAATTAACAAGAGCCATTGGCAGGTTTGTTAACCCATTTACTGGCAGTACCCTATGCCACTGACGAGTAAAATCTTCTGGCGCTCGACAAGAGAAGGGCGCATTGCCAGCTAATGGGTTAAACCACCGTGGTTAAACATAAGATTTCATGATGCTCCAGGAAATGTAAACAAGCTATCAGTGTGACATCCCAGTTTATATATTTATATACTCAGAATATTGATTTCTCGGTACATACAAAATTATTTTAAAGTATAACAACCAGCAAAGACGTAAGGCACTAACTACCCTGCGCGGCTGCGCGCAGACTATATAACGACATATATATGTAATCCGTCCGGTCCGTCCGTCATTCATCCGTCCGTCCGTATCCGCGTTTTATCCTAACCCGTTTTTAAAACACAAAGTTTGCATTTAATTAAGCTAGGCAGTGCGGTTCGTCATGATCAATATTTTCAAAAGCGGCCAATTAGACCAGGGGTTAAAGGGCAATGACAATGACATGCAGGTGACATTTAACATTGCGTCCCACTAATAAACCTGCATCGATTTGAATAATGCAAATCATTAAAAACTTGCATAGCATAACCTGTAGACTTTTGCAAAGTCCTTCATCTTTGTTTAGAACGAAGGAATTTTCAAAGAAGTAATTTCTTGAAGAGTAAGGAATTTGTGGAAGTCAATACAATTAGAGTATTTAGGCATTTAGCTGACCTTCGACTTTGTGCAAGGTGTTTTCGTATTCAAATTGCACTTTTCCTACCTCCTGAACAGGTGTCTAATAAGGCCCATCTACACAATACGACTAGTCGTATACGATTCTTACCGTATGAAAAAGATTGCCGACGCCACTATTTCTGTTCATCAGTTTATGGCGAAGTTTGAAATGTGACATCTTTACACACATTTATTCGAGTACATACGCCAGGATAAGAATCGTATACGACTAGTCGTATCGTGTAGATGGGCCTTTAGGGGTGCTTTACGTGCTTATGTGATGGAAGGCGGGGTGAGGCAGCACTTTCCTTGCGATAGTAACTTCTAGTATAATAGTGTCACAACCTCGTGCAATGGAAAAATATGCGATATGATGTCAAAATTAAATGTCATAGCTCCTATGAAGTTACGGTGCATCGAACACAGCTTTCAGAAGCGATCGGATTGTCATCGTAACCTTCCTGCGTATATAAATTTGTCATTCTACTGTGACGTCAGAAAATGCGTCCCGAATGATCGAACGAACGAACGACAAACAAATTGAGATTGCTTTGGCTAAAATTATAGGTCGCGCGGGAATCTGGCACGAGTAAAAACTGTAAACGTCGTCAAGAATAGGTGGCTACCTCGCTTCGCTCGGCAGCAATTACAGTATAAAATGATTATTAATATTGTTATTATTTAATTATGGGAATATGATATGCAGTAATTAAGCCGTGCATAAAAAACCCAGTGAATTTTGACTTCAAGCTGAAGTGGTTCTTATATTATCTTACTTCACACTATACTTTTTTATATTCTACACATTGTATTTTGGGTGCTTATTTGCCCAAATTTCAAGCTAGTGGTTCTTAACCTACTGGTTGTTTTATGCAGGGCGTTACTGTATATCAAATCAATAGACCTTTAATATGCATAATGACGTCTTAAGGCTTGATGTCTGTGAGGAATGCTGGTCTTAGTGGTCATCACGGTCCAGGAAAATTTAGATAGTGGCCATTTTGAATTGTTTAATTTTCCTGGGCAATTACTACTAAAGCCCTGGGCAAACTAGGGCGCTTTCCATTTAATGGCCTGACAGGTCAGACCCAAATTTTTTTCTCTGTATCAGGTGCATGTTTCTCAAATATTTAGCGAAAATGGACCTCATTCTAATGTTACAGTGGAACCCCGTTAATACGGTCACCAACGGGCCGAAATAATATGGCCGTATTAACGGGGTGGCCGTATTAACGGGGTGAGATCAAATTTCAATTGTGACGTCATTAAAGCTATGTTTATTCGAAAATCATAATAACACCATACCCCACCATAATACCAATGAATAACTAAACATTATAAAGTTCAGATAAAGTTGTCACTAATTTTAAGGAAACAGTGTTAGGGAATACAACGTCGCTAAAGAACCTTGTATTCTTTCTTTTCCTTTGCGCGACTGATAATAAAAATAAAAAAATTAGTAATATCATGCAACTTGAATTGTGTGTTTCACTGCACAAGGTGTCTTAAATTATACTGCATTTCCGTCCGTAAACTCATTTATTTTTTTGAGTGACCGTATTAACGGGGTGATTTCTTTAGTTCGGGACTCTACAATATGGCAGTTGGCCGTATTAACGGGGTGGCCGTATTAACCGGGTAACTTTATTATAAAATGTATTAGTGTTTCGCCGGGACAAAAAAGTGACCGTATTATCGAGGTGACCGTATTAACGGGGTGGTCGTAAGGCGGGGTTCCACTGTATCAAGATTTTCCGGTCAGATAGGTCCGAAGGCCAAATGTTTTGTGTTTCATTATAAACAATTTGACCGTTTTGACCGGTCTGGCCGTGTTAATGGAAAGCTCCCAAGGAAACATTGTTGCAGAAACATTGTTTCTTGTCAATGTTTTGCCATGTTTCCCAGAGTGGGCAAACACTAGGAAACATTAGTGAGAAACATAGGGAAACATCAAATGTTTCTGAATTTGCTAGGAAACATTTTTGCTTCTCGGGAAGCAAATTTTGTTTCCGCAGCAATGTTTTCATGGGTGTAGAAACAGGGAAACATCTGAGGAAACATCACGAATCACAAATGTTTCCACAACAATGTTTCCTAGTTTGCCCATAGCTTAAGACCAGCATTTCTCATAGGCATCAAGCCTTGTGACATCATTATGCATAAGGTCAAATGAGCAGTATGATGTCCAAATTGGAACACACAATTGAACACAAATGAAAAATTATCTGACTTTTTTCCATAATGCTCACAATTTCTTTCTTATTATATAGTTTTACCGTTCTGACTGAGTACAATCTTAATCATTTATAAAAAGAATGGTGTCATATGAAGCTAACGTATTAAACAATTGCAATCTTAATCATTTACACAATGAATGGTGTCATATGAAGCTGACATATTAAGCAAAAATATCAAGAAAATAGATTTTGTCTCCCCATCAGCAGATTGTTCCGTTGTTCTGCGATAGTTGTAGCCTTGAAGGTACTATTAAAATGATAATTGGGGCAAAAACTGACTTACTGGTAGTATTTCTATGTATAAAATTGTTATTAAATTCTACATATCAAATGATTCATTCAAGTATTAATTATTATCATTTGTTATATATGATATTGTACAGTATTCAGTGGCAAGCTAGCCATGACAACTGGTCATGATATACTAATAAACCTGCATCTATTTGAATAATGCAAATCATTAAAACTTGCATATAGGATGACCTGTAGACTTTCACAAAGTCTTTCATCTTTATAAAGTTTGTTCGTTCACTGCAACCAGGTATATCAATCATGTTTCGCTCGCTACTCATCTCGCTACTTCGTTTCGCTCGCTACTCATCTTTGCTACTAACATCTTTGTTTAGAACGAAGGAATTTTCAAGGAAGTAATTTTTTTGAAGAGTAAGGAATTTGTGGAAGTCAATACAATTAGAATATTTAGCTGAGCTTTGATTTTGTGCAAAATGTTTTCATATTCAAATTGCACTTTTCCTACTTCCTGAACAGGTGTCTTAGGGGTGCTTTTTGTGATGGAAGGGGGGGAGGCAGCACTTTCCTTGCGATAGTAATTTCTAGTATAATCAGCTATTGCTGACAGGCTGTCGTAGCTGGATATTGTATTAAATAATATATTGCATACTTAGATTTCGATCAATTGGGCGTACCGGAAGGAAAAAATTAGGGGGGCGGAAAGAAAATTGCCCGACTTTTCATGAATGTGCCCGACTAGTACCGAAAAATTTTTTTCCGAAAAAATTATTTTGGCGACCTCCCCCCCTCCTCCCCCCCCCCGCCAAAAAAATTTCGGTCAGTGTACCATTTTAGGGGGTCAAAAAAATTTTCGGACATACCAAAATTTTTCGGAACATCAGGCAAAATTTCCAAATAACACTAAATTGGCCACAAAATTGACTGAATTTTCGACAAAATTGACATAATTTATCCCATTTTTTTTATAACAAACCAAAATTGCCCGACTGTTCATCGAATATTGCCAGACTGCCCCCCTCCCCGCCCGGTACGCCTATGAATTAAAACAATAATAACCTAAAGGTATGTACCAGCTACGCGCATTGTGTTTGTATGCGTGGCATACGCCTATCATGGGATGAAAAACTAATAAGCTCAATTTAATATAATTATTGTAGATTTCATAAGGATTGTCATTGTTTTCTATAAATTATAATACATTTTATTTCACTTACCCCACACAAAAACACGATTTCATATATTTATATAGCATATTTCCCCCAATATTGAGAGAATTTCTTCTATTTATTTTGTAATAAGCTAATATTGCCTGACTCTGAAGCGAATATTGCCCGACTGACCCAGTCTGACCAACAATCTGGCTACATTTGACCTCCAATTTGGAGGCGAAACCATAAAGGCGGTTCGCTCATCTTAGGATGAGTTCTACTGAGATGTGTATATAGTTTCATGAAACATCTACAATTACGCAAAAACGTTTCGTTAAATGTTTCTTGCTCTTTCAGGGCAAATGTTTGCTTTTAGAGGAGATTTTTGGCATCAGTAAAAATCAATTTTAGTTACAGTCTGTGACCACTCACGTAATCGCTCTTTATTTCAAACCAGTGCGATGTTCCCCATGCAGTATGACTTAAAACACCAGATTGTATCTGTTTTTAAGCTCGCTATTCAATAAGTGCTTTACTTCTGGTATCCGTAGTTATGTGACGTCACCGTGAAAGGGATCTTAGTCAGACACTAATTGGAATAATTATACAATGTGCGTATTGCATAGCGAACATGCCGGTTTATTAATTTTGTTATTAATGACAATTTGTACTGTTAAAAAGTATTAACCAAAGTAATTATTAAAAAGGTGGGGGTAATAAAAACGCCCACAACTAACGAACTAATAAACAAATATACAAGTTATTATATTGCGTTCAGAAAAACAGAGAGGGTTCGAAAAATTTGACTTCAAACTAGAAAGTTGATTTTGCGCTATATACCAAAGCGAAGAACAAAATGAACCAAATGCCCATTCTGCTATGCATACCACTCCATTCTGTTTTCTGTGCGCATTATACAATCATGTAACCAGAAAATTACCGGAAATTACCCATGTCAGTCCCATTTATCGATTTTGTCTCTTTGTACGGTATATCCTAAACCCAGTATTATTTATAATTGCGATGCCAATAATTCTTATATTATGCCTCCTATATCTATGAGAATACATGGTGCCCAAGAAAATGCTCCCCACTAATTCAGGGAGTTAATATAACTCCAGTGGTGTTATAACGAGTAACGGTTAGGTAGCTTTACTATTTTAATTTTATTCTAGATTGACCAACTAACATATTCTTTTCAATCTATTGGTATTTGACTGACCAAATAACCAACCGTGGTGACGCACATTTTCACTTATCCAAATTATGAAGAAGGAGAAAGGAATTTTAAAGAAAACGGCCATCTATGTAGTCTTAAAAAATAATGAAAGTGGACGTTCTGCAAAATATTCGCAGGCTGTGGGGAAATTTAATCGCTAATTTCCCTCAAGTCACGTTATTTAAAAATTACATGCAAATACTGAAGCAGATATTTTTATCGTTACTGTATTGATTTACTAAACGCTGTTATGTAATGCTGAGTAGCATTAATCCAAAGTTATTAATTAATTTATTCTTCATTGCATTTCCATTGAAATTGCGTTGTTAATGGATGAACCTCTGCGGTTCATAGATGCATTCAAAGACGAACTTCCAGTATAGATGTTAGAAGCCCTGCTAGAGGCAACTTTGCGATGGTGAGAACTAATTGACGTGTCCGACTTTCCTTTACTTGACCATAATAACTTCCATTTTCTTCTTGTATCTTTTGAGAGGACGCAATAAAAGATGAAAACCAACAGACCTTGAAGTGAGTTAAAGATACAAAATAGATACTGAAAGACCAATTTAGCATCTTTAATAGCAAGAATACCAAATACCCAGGTCAAACCAAGGACCACCAGGATAGCAAAACTCCGTCTTGCTTGTGTGATTCCACTGGTCTTGCGGTCTGAGGTCACTTTAGTTCCAGAGGCAAGGAGGGAACGTAAGATGAGGACAAATTCAACAAAGTTGAAGAGAAGTATTAGCACGATCGGAACGAGGAAAGCCAATAGAAATGGGAAACCTTGAAGACGGCAACTAAATAAAACAAATTTAGAAGTAGCCTATAAATTGCCAGTATAAGATGGGGGAAAACTGCTGGTTCAGGAAATTTGAAGTTCCATTTACATACACTAAATTTTCAGGATAAAATATTAAATATATAGTTCTGGCAATTAATAAGGTCATGCTTTGTTGCAACTTAGATCATCTAAAAAAAATACATTTCTGACATAGAAAATACAAAGAAAATACATTTCGGACGGTTTGCGACATAGGATGCTGTGAGTATAGCCTCGCCACCGTTCACGATTGTGTGCCGTAGTATAGTACATCCGTGTCCAAACATGTGCGTACTTATAGAACTGGAGAACTGATTTTAACGGATTATTCAGAAGTTGTTATTCCAAATTTTTGTGCCACCTACTTTGGTCGTGTGATTGGCCATATAGTACAACAAACTACATGACTTACATTTATCCAACTTTCAAACATGCAATGAATAGATCAAGGATTTCGATCGCGAGTAAGTGTTTGTTAAACTACTTATTTTGTGTCCGCAATGTCTAGTTTAAATTTTTATGATAATTAATAATCAGTGGCAAAGAAGAAAACCTGAGCAGATCGAAAGCAAGTTTACTGTCGGATGTGTTAAATAAATGCATAGGTATATAGGTTTTTGTATATTTACCATGCAATAGGTAAAAATTATATGTAGTTGTAACATCCTTGAAGTTCAACAATTCCCATGCACAGAATAAATTAAACACTGTCTACAAATAACACTAAGAACATGAAATATGTGAAAACTGGCTCCTCTTTACGATCGATATGCACGCAATAATCATATTTTTACTTGCGAAAGTAGAACGATCAAAAAGTGTGCGTTTTGCGTCTTCTGTTGGTATATATATATATATATATATATATATATATATATATATATATATATATATATATATATATATATATATATATATATATATATATATATATATATATATATATATATATATATATATATATATATAAATTAAGGTACAACAATCAACAAAATCCACTAGGCATCTTTATTACTAAATAGTTTCGTACCACAAAATGTGGCACTCTTCAGATAAATTGAGTACCACAAAGAGTGCCACATTTTGTGGTACGAAACTATTTAGTAATAAAGATGCCTAGTGGATTTTGTTGATTGTTGTACCTTAATTTAAATATGCTCTGGTTTTGCATTGAGCACTTTACCAAAAGTTTTTATAACCAACGAAACCAAATCTTATATATATATATATATATATATATATATATATATATATATATATATATATATATATATATATATATATATATATATATATATATATATATATATATATATATATATATATATATATATATATATATGAATAGGTTTTGATTGTCATGCCTGGATTATTTCTGTCGGTTGGTTTATTTTAAACCAAAAAAGGGACTTCTTCAGGCAAATTGTGAGATTATTTATTAAATTCCTCAGACGTTTCGCCCGTTTCACTCTTTTAACTTAATTTTAAAATTTTTAACTTAGAACTCAAATTAACATTTTTAACAACATTCTTTAGCTTTTACATTCTCAATCAAGCGATAAATGCATGTATATATAGAGGACGATTTTATTATTCAGATTATTGTACTCACTGATGAAGCCTTAACCGGCGAAACGTCTGAGGAATTTAATAAATAATCTCACAATTTGCCTGAAGAAGTCCCTTTTTTGGTTTAAAATAAACCAACCGACATATATATATATATATATATATATATATATATATATATATATATATATATATATATATATATATATATATATATATATATATATATATATATATATATATATATATATATATATATATACTCTGACTAGGCGGAAGAACAATTAACGGTGTCCAACATTTCAATGGAGTTCCACCGTCTACAGTTTCGGAATTTCCGAGGTCTCTGATATACGAGGCCATTTTATTTTTATATTGCGCGAGTATTAAACTACCTCACTGAAGTTATATCTAAGCTAAAGCTATTTCTTTAAATCTTTTCCTTGTATTAGCAGACGACAAAACAAATCAAATGGCACCTTTCAATTGGACTTTCAGAGGTAAGATCAAAGTTTATCCGCTCACAAAAAATGACATTTAGAAATCATGCATTCATCATTTACTGTAAACCTCCCTCACATCTAGTTCCCTTTTCTCCGGTTCAATATCGTAATACACAATTTCTTATACTGCTATATTGGTAAATAGCGACCGTTCGCCATTTATCCTATACAGGGTGTATAAAAAAAACTGAACAGATTTGAAATTGCTCTCAATTTCGCAAAACAGCTATTAGTATCCAGTTTTTTATATATATAGCTTCTTTGGGTACTTATAATGTAGAATAATGAAAAAAAAATTCTCAAACTCAAATTTTGTAAACCAGGGGGGTGTCTTTTCCAACAAACTAAAAATGGCTTGTGCACGAAATTTAAAAGCTGTAATCGTATTTTGAGTTAATGGGTGAAAAATTTGTTGGGTATTTAACTGCTGCACAAAATTTCAGAAAATTTGCCTCAGTTTAGGCCTTTAACTATTCACGCAAACTTTTGCATGCTTAATTAATGCCTTTGCCTAATTCAAGTCAGCAATATGCAAGTTAGGTAAAGATATTAATTAAGCGTGCAAAAGGCTGATTTGGGGGGGGGGATGAATACTTAAAGGGCTTAAACTAAAACAAATTGTCTTGAAAATTTGTACAGTAATTAAAAACCCAACAAATTTTCCATTCATTAACTCAAAATACGATTAAAGCTTTTAAATTTCGTGCGCAAGCCATTTTTAGTTTGTTGGAAAAGAAACACCCCCCTTGGTTTACAAAAATTGAGTTCGAGAATTTGTTATCATTATTCTACATTATGGGTACTCAAGGAATCTATATATAACAAAAACTTGATACTAATAGCTGTTTTGCGAAATTGAGAGCAAATTAATATCTGTTCAGTTTTTTTATTTATACACCCTGTATAGTCAAGGATTCCCTTTTTTATACTGCAATACATTTTGTCAGGAGGGGCCCAAAATTTTACCAGGGGGGGCCGGGCCCTCCGGCCCCAGCCCTGGCTACGCCTCTAGCTGAGCATTGATACCACAAACTGGTTTTCGAAATTGAGAGCAATTTCGAGTCTGTTCAGTTTTGATACACCCTGTATTGTCCGCACCAACGAGGAAAAGGATACGTAACTCATTCAAGTTTTTCCTACTTAAAGAGAAGTGATGCACCGATATGGAAATTCACCGATATTCCGATAACCGATATTGAAGGACCGTCGACCGATATTTTTCCAATACCGATATTTTATGTCATTTCACAAAATTCAAAGATGACATTATGACAGTTCTACTTTAACACTTTTGAATTTAATTCAATTCATTTGTTTCTAAATACTGAAAATATCAAATGAAAAGCTGCGAATGCATGCAACAAACTAGTATATTACTACGTCAGTGACTGTTTATTTGTAATAAAAATAACTATTGCAACTATAACCAATCATTAATATTTAATAACAGTTTGTAATATCGGTAATATCAACAACAAAATTACCGATACCGATATTTCTATTTTAGTACCGATAAGCCGATACCGATACACCGATGTATTCGGTGCATCACTATATATACAAAGCGTGCATCACGAATTCAAAGGAAAACATGTAGCTGTGACTGGATGATTTAAAATATGCGTATTAAAGTATACAAATGTTCAGTCATGCATTCGTGTTGTATTGTAGTAATAATTATGTAATCATGAATGCATGAGTGAACATTTCAATACTTAAATATGCATATTTTAAATCATCCAGTCACAGCTACATGTTTTTCTTTATGACTGTGATTTTTGCCCGAATTTCGCGATTCGTGTATTAAAGAATGTGATAGAAAAAAATTGAAGCATCTTTACACAAGTAGCAAATGTATGAAACAACCAAAACAGGCTAATCAACAATTATGCTATCAAATTTTTGTTCTCTGGCCCCGTTCTCACCTTTCTCACCACTTCTCGTCAGCCTGCCTATACACGAATCGCGAAATTCGATTGCGCATCCAAATGACGCGTTCTAAGTCGGCCAAAGCCCAGATTCAAAGTAAAACATGTGGCTGTGACTGGATGATTTAAAATATGGGTGTTAAAGTATTGAAATGTTCAGTCATGCATTCATGTTGTATTGTAGTAACAGCCTCGTCCCCAGGCGCTTTGATTTGCTGCGCCTACAGAGCCGTCCACTGCTTGCGTCGGAACCCACACGTCTGAGTTGGAGCCTGGGGACGAGGCTGTTGTAGTAATATGTAATCATGAATGCACGAGTAAACATTTGAATACTTAAATACGCATATTTTAAATCATTCAGTCACAGCTACATGTTTTTCTTTAACTGTGATTTTTGCCTGAATTTCGCGATTCGTGTATACCTTCGCCTCCTAAACACAACACATTAAGGAGGAATTACTTTTTGTGTTTTACCGTGATTGAACCAATTAGGTATTTACTAATATATCGCATTGATACTGAACATTATAGAAATGGCATTGCTAGAAAAATAATTTTTTAGTAAATTCGGGCATTTTAACTGCCCTTCTTCAGGCTGGCGATCCCCAAAAATTATTTATAGTCATTTTCCCAATCAATAGCCTGAAGAAGGCAGTAAATATACTGGGCGCAACGATGAAAAAAAAACACTTAAAATTCTACATAATTTATTGCAAGAATTAAAAATTTTCTTATTTAATTTTTGTTTAGATAAACTGACTAACTATGGGAACAAGTTTGTCATAGGATTTACTTCCCAATATTCCCTGCGTACCTACGGTTACGTTGGAATAGCAATTGCAGCTCACTTCGATACAAATGTCACAATTATCACACAATCAACTTCGAGCGTTCCGTTGAACGTCGCCATCCATATGAAAGAAGGAGATTTCTTGGAGTATGCTCTGCCGCGCTCCCTGCGAATGCAAGGAATCCAAAATAATGGTATTCAGGTTTCGTCAACAATGAATATTTCTGTGGCGTGTTTCAATTATTATACAGGTGGGGATGGATACCTAGCACTACCAACTGACGCACTAGGTGTAACATATGTTGTTGCATCATATACACCATACGATAGCGTTGCAAGAGCTAAAATTGGTATTGTGTCAATACATGACGAAACAACCATTTTAATTCAACCAATTAAGAATGCCGTTATTGAAATTGGTGGAACCGCGTATACTCACGCGGACACGATCCATGTTTCTTTGGGTACACTGCAGTCCATGCAAGTAACGAGTAAATCGGATTTATCGGGGACAACGATATTCGCTTCTAAACCAGTATCTGTCGTCTCTGGGGTGGATTTGGGAATTCCTGGCGGCACTGGAAGTTATGACAGATTAGAATCATTTCTTTTACCTGTCACACACTGGGGAAAACAGTACATCTTAACAACGGTCGGATCAACGAACAAAAACCAAGGAGATATTTTCCGAATTTTTGCCTTTGGAAATAGTACGGTTGTCCACAGTGCATACTGGACCAAAGTTTTGTTATCCGGCACTTATACTGAATTGATATTAGGCGAAAATCTTACCTCGTTTGTGAACTGCAATAAACCTTGTCAAGTGGTACAATACATAAGGGGGGAAACAATTGGCTCGAAAAAGGCGGACACTTCGATGATTGTCCTTCCTTCGATTAAACAGTTTAAATCATACTATCGTGTACTTTGTAGTCTTTTTTCAAGTTTTTACAGTTCTGCAACAATTACGATTGAGGAACGTTTAACCAACGGTTTGTTTTTGAATGGAGTTAAAATGAGTTATCTAAATTGGATTAAAATTTCGGGGACAAAATATGTTTGGACAGTGGTTGGTATGCCTGGAACGAAACATGCTACCTTCTATCATTCTTCGCGTGATGGTAACTTTGGACTGCTGGTGTATGGCTGGAAGGGCGGAAATTCGTATGCTTACCCTGGAGGATTCACTTTTCAACACTACAGTACCGGTAAGTAATTGCCAAGCTTCGACCCAAACGCGGTGAAATATTTCGCTTTAATTTGGACAGCATTGCTGCAGCGTTGAAATATCATTAATAATGATAGAATTGGCAGTTCCTTGATGTGCAATGTTTGGCTATATTTTAAGAATATCAACCTTTGGAGCTGTAAATTTAGTTTTAATATTGCCCGATACCCTTTAGGAAACTGTTATTTGATCACCGGCTCTTTACGTGGTTCGTGTATACCAAGTTGTCTTTTCGCGTGAAAATTGCGTGTGACAACAGACAGTGTAATTACAGTGTGGGTATAATATCGATAACAAATGAAGGGAATTTCGATGATGCTAATTTACTTTCAAAGAACAAAATTTCTATTTATATAAGTAAATATAAATTTTTTGTTCTTGTCTATTCAGCAATTATGTAAAAAATATATATCTTCTTCCGGTGTAAAATTTTGAGTTAAAATCTTGGCCGGCCTTGAGATTTGTTTTTTATATGTTGGTGAATATGTTTGTGAATATGTTAGTTAACAGCGAAATAATTTAGATAGTGAAACTCACTGTTTTTTACAACAACATGAAAACCAGAGGTGGAAGACGAAGACTGCAAACAAAAAAAGCTGTGAAAAAGTTCTATGCATGCCATACTTATATTTCCCCATGGCCCATGGCATACTTATCTTTCGCCATATATGGTGGGATAAATGATAGTCTGACGCAGTTTTGTCTCTAATTGCTTTGAATTATTGGTTGGGTATGAACACAAGTTCTTGTACTCATGGGGAAAAAAATCAAAGAAATAAAAATTAGAAAATTTAAAAGAAAATATATAGTATTTCTTTTAAATTTTCTAATTTTGTTTCTTTTATTTCCATGTTTCTCGCTGTGCGGCTATATCATCTTCCTGTACAATATGCTGCAGCCTTCGTGTATCGTTTTCAAAATCGTCAAAAGCAAGCCAAGGTCTCTCTCTTCACGAGAAAGCATCTTATTTAACAATTATTGGATGAGGTTGAGCACGATATGAAGAATTATCAAACCCGACGTTTGCCGTTATCAACCGACGCCGAAGCCTGAGGAAGCATCTTATTTAACAATTATTGGATGAGGTTGAGCACGATATGAAGAATTATCAAACCCGACGTTTGCCGTTATCAACCGACGCCGAAGGCTGAGGTTGATAACTGCAAACTGAGGGCTTGATAATTCTTCATATTGTGCGAAAACCGAATTCAATAATTGTTTTATTATTTATTTAAAAAATTCAAAACAAACGGTCGTCCATTTGTTCGCCTGCGTTTATCAGCCAATCAAGAATTAGGAAACTGAGTGTTCTTACCTACTCTAGAAGCTTTTGTTGATCTTTTTGTATTTAAAGAATCTTTACCTTTCAGTAATTTTTCAATTTCGGCTTCGCCAAGGTTGGCGAACCTTTCAGTGGAAGAAGCCATTTGTATTTTATGAAAAAAAAACAATTCCGTAGTCCTTCGGCAGCCGTCGTCATCGTCATCGTCATATCAATTGCGTCAGCGAGTCAATATGATTCTCGTCGTCATAGTAATATGGCGCAAACGCGTCCAAATTTTTGTCATATTGACTCGTTGACGTCATTTTGCTAATATGAATGTGAAAAATCCCTATTTAGTTAGCCATTGAGTTGATATGACAATTTCACAGTTGGCTGTTAGCCAATCAGAAACCAGGAATTTTTTAAATAAATAATAATACGTATTAATAAATACTAGTTAAAACATGAGCAGCCGATCTTTATCTGACATACAAACTCGAGCCGAAAACGACCCTCTTGTGAGTTCATTGGCGAAGTATAATTTTAAAAATAAACATTGTCTAAGCCGAGCAATTCGTTCCCCATGCCTGCGATCCTCGGAAAGGAACGTGAGGCTTTGGGATAATCCGTTTCAGGGAGGAATCTGATTGGCCGTTGATATGGAATGCGCAGTTCGGTCATCTTAGCCACTGATCTGTACTAAGACTGGATAACGCATCTATAGTATACGAAAGTGAAGCCGGAAGTCACCGGCCGCCACCCGATTCAAGGGTCCCACTTTTGTATAGATTTGTATTACAGATGGTAGTTTTTCGCGTTTTTTGCCTTGCCTACGTTTCTGACCGGGCCAGTTTTACAATCACAAAAATAGAAGCATACAAGAAGAATTTTGAGCAAAAAATTTGGAGTATTATGACTTTATAACGCCGCGAAACGGGTATACAATTTTGAAGGAGTGGAGAGCCTCAGACTTTGTTTATCAACACGAGCTCGTTTTGCTACTTTCATACAAAATCAAAATGTACAGGGATTACTGTTACTGGACGAATATTCCCAGGAAATTTGAAGAATGGAGCAGCTACATTGTGAACAAAAGCATACTGAGGTTAGTTTTAAAATACCTTGAGGCTACTTTTATAATTTTATATGAATTAAAAACAGTTTTAAATGTCAATTTTGTCAAGAGCATTCCCTCAACTTGTCGAGAAGTTTTGTATGTTTTAAAGTAGGAAGACAAGTGACAATCAAATATTTTTTAATCCAAATTAACAATGACTCAATATAATGTTATTTTAATTCATATGATTATAAAATTAGCGTCAAGGTATTTTAAAACTAACCTCTGTACGCTTTCGTTCACAATGTAGCTGCTTCATTTCTTCAAATTTCCCGAGAATATTCGTCCAGTAACAGTAATTCTTGTATATTTTGAGTTGATTTTGTATGACAGTAGCAAAACGAGCTCGTGTTGATAAACAAAGTCCGAGGCTCTCTATTCCTTCAAAATTGTAAATCCCGTTTCGCGGCGTTATAAAGCCATAATATTCCAAATGTTTTGCTCAAAATTCTTCTTGTATGCTTCTATTTTTGTGATTGTAAAACTGGCCCTGTAAGAAACGTAGCCAAGGCAATGCAAAAATCGCGAAAAACTACCATCTGTAATACAAATCTATACAAAAGTGGTACCCTTGAATCGAGTGGCGGCCCAGTGACTTCCGGCTTCACTTTCGTATACGCGTATACTATAGATGCGTTATCCAGTCTTAGTACAGATCAGTGGTCTTAGCCAGGATTCCTGGCTTCCGGCAACGGATTATTTCAGAACCTCACGTTCCTTCCCGAGGATCGCAGGTTCGGGAAACGAGATTGTAAGCCGAGAAAATCAAAGCTGAAGTTTATGTTAATCAGGACAAATCTTTATCCGATTTACAAACATTGATTAAACATTCATTTCTTTTGAATTTTCTTCATCAATTATTAATGAGTTTTTTAATATACATAAAAATGTTCGAAACAATTGTAGTTTTAACTTTATACGTTTATAGCGAACCGTCCACTGGCAAAGCTTTCCTGGCTTTGTTATATCACATTATACATGCAACGCTAACAGCTTGAAAATTCCACTCAACTATGTAAAGTTTTGTTAGTCTTGTTTAAAGTAAAGGCTTTTCCATTTAAAAAAAGATAAAAGCCATATTTTCCAACCGAAGTCAACTTTTACTTTATGTAGCGCGCCATGTTTGTTTTGTTTTGAGGCAATCTGTGACCGTTACTTCTTTAAACCTGCTTTATCATCACATTGTTTTTTCACCAATCAGATCAGTTTGTTACAGATTTTTGCGCTTTGGTAACAGAAAATTGCACTGTGATAACAGAAAATTGCACTGTGATAACAGAAAATTGCACTGTGATTACAAAAAATTGCACTGTGATTACAAAATATTGCACTGTGATTACAAAAATTGCACTGCTGTCTGAGATTAACTGCACTGAAATCAACCAATAATCACAGTCGAGTAATATTTTTATGTATATTATTAAGCTCGTAATAAAGTTTATTTTCGCTATTATTTGCAATTTTATTGAAATAGTTTGATATACTTAGGGGCCATTCACAAAGGATGTCCGAGCCGAGGGGGGGAGGGGGGTTTGGAAAATCAGGACAAACTCGGACATAGGGGGGAGGGGGGGGTTTTAGCAATCCGGATGTCCGAAATTTAAAAAAATTCAAAAACAAATTTCTTTTTCCCTCTATTTTGAGCAGTCCTTCCCATTGTGAAATTGGCATTTTGACTATGCGGTTAACACTAGATTTTGTTTTAATTAGTAATTTATATGTTTTTGTGTTCACATTTACAGTTATAAAAAAGTTCTAAAAGTAAAAACGTGAGTTTTTGCGTGGCATGGCGGATGTCCGGGGGGAGAGGGGGGATCACTAATTCTGACAATGCCGGACAAGGGGGGAGGGGGGGGGTCTGAAAATCCATCATTTGGCCGGACATCCTTTGTGAATGGCCCCTTACGTATTTAGACAATTTAGACACAATGCAGCATTATAGCCCCAATTATAATTAATAAATATAATAATGATAAAAGTTACAACATCTAGCTTTGTAGTAGCCCGCGTGCAGGCCCAAGGGAGCAGGCTCCACTATCAAGTTCCCTTGAGCCTGCTCCCTTGGGCCTGCATGCGGGCTAGCTTTGTAGGAGCTAACATATACTAATTTGTTTGTAAATTGGCGTTATTTTTTTTAAATTTTATTTTCCCATGTATAAAAATCTACTTAAAATATATTACAATAATTTGAAGATGTTGGGCTAGAGACCTACTAGAAATCTTCATAGACTTTTTATTTTTTATTTTCATAGACTTTTTAGTTATTATAATAGCTAGCCTATATTGTCCTGCGTTGGTGTTCAATGTCCAAAATTATATTATTAATATATGTACAACACAGAGCTTCGCCATTTAGTGGAGGAATAGTAGCAAAAAATGTACTAGGAGATTTACAGATGGACCACCATGGTATTTTCTGAAATAATAGACCCAAGAAAGCCTTCCAACGGCGCAACATATTAATTGCAATTTGTCTTTAAAAGAGATTGCAATGTACTATCACCAACTTTCATTAAAGCGTGGCTCCGATTATTGAAACTTGGATAGTTCAAACCTTCAGTCTTTATTTAGTAGCAAGCCCTCTGGTATCTTATTTCTTGGCCCTTCTTGGAGAACACTCGCTCTTTAACTATGCATTGTATTTTATCTTAGACATCGATGAATGTGCAGGTAATCATGATTGTGATACAAATGCCGATTGTGTCAACACTGATGGAGGTTATACATGTACATGTCGAGACGGTTATACTGGTGACGGGCGATCCTGTACCGGTAGGCTCAAATTTAATTCCTAGAAAATTAAACTTGGAAAAAATTGTTAGTAAGTGCTAACTAAGTACAACTAAGTACAAGCTCTGCACTTTAAGGTGACCCAATACTAACAGTTTTTTTTAAATGGAAAATTTGCGATTTAAGACCCGTCTTTTTGGATTACTTGTTGAGAAACAAAAAGTATCTTACTTATGTAAAACAACATCTGAAGAGTTTAAGTAGGGCCGTCGCGAAGAAGTTTAAATATAAAGGGGGTGTGGGTATGGCATTTTCCGACAAAAGGGCGTGGTCACTGCGTGAGGTCATCCGAAGTTAACTATTCAATTACATGTTTTTTTTGGAATTGGACATATCTTTACTCTGACGAGAATTTATTAATTGAATAAGAATCACATGTTCATGTGTTTTAATAGGCAATATTTTACATTCAATCCAATTTGGCAATTATAAATTAGGGTCCGGCTAGTGACCAATCCGATGAAAAATTGTGTTGCGTATATGTTACACGCATCTGCTCATAGAAACTAGTGAATTTTGTTCTAATATAAAGCTCTATAATTACACTATGTCTCCTACTAAATTGTCAAGTATTCTAAACATTTGACAGCGTTAAAGGTGATTTATTAAGGCCTTTACATTTTTCTCCACGTGCCTCCACAATGTAGGAAATTAGTGCCTTTTCGCAAACCCAAAACTCAATCTTTTAATGGGGGAATATGCTTCCGGACCTCTTTACAATTGTGGCTCACTAATTATTAAGTTGCTCCCCCCCCCAAAAAAAAATAAATTAAATGTAACAGTACTGAATGTAACAGTACTGTACACGCTTAAATGTACAAATTCTAAACCACAACAAATACACTCTAGTAAAGACAATTATATTTCTTGCCGAATGTTCTCCCCCAACAAAATAACAATACAAAGCAATGACAATATATAATTTCTAAATTCTCAGCTGAGCCGTTCGTGCTTCAAATATACCTGAAAGGCAGTATTTCGATTTCAGTTCGATTTTACATTCATCTCCTTGCTGGTCAAAATCAATTTGCGGCTCTGTGCCTCTGTTTAACACCACATTTAATTTCCCGTGTTTGTATTTCTTGTATTGGAGTTTTACATTGGAGGGGCTTAGTGGAAAGGCCGACTCGTTCGGAACGTGTAATTCTGAGAGAGGCTAATGAGGGTCTATTAGAAAATTCAAGTTACTTATAATTATTCCAGTATCAAGTGAGGATGATACAGATTTTATTTACCAGCTGCGAGATCACGCCTGGGAGCCATTTCATGTAAACACAACGGTTTGTTGATTTGTCCTTCGCCGAAACTGCTGTTCGATACTTTTTTAGTTGCCGTGCGGTGAACCAAACCGACAAACATGACCTCCTTAAATTTTTAGACATAAATGAATGCAATGAAGATCCATGTACAGAGGATGGTGCCGTATGTATAAACACTCTTGGATCCTATACATGTACTTGTCCTGAGGATCTCTATAACAATGGAAACCTGTGTTATGGTATGGAAAAATGTTGAGAACATCCCTAAATTTTGCTGCCAGAAGGATTAATTTTAAAACATTTTGTTAGATATTTTCACAGATATCCTAAACATCTTAGCGAAACTCCTACAGTATAGTGAGGTTAATAACCAAAATGAGGTTTAATTTTAATCAGGTTCCTGGTCGTATATCGACTTAGCATACATTCTGGTTAACGTGGTTATCATGGTTTATAAATCAACCCTAATTCCCACTAGTTAGACCTTCCCAAAAATGAGTAAAATAATCAAGAAAACTACCCAACGTTTCGGCACTCTAGTCCAGTGCCTTCATTCATACCCCAGGGATGACGTTATCTGCCAACGAGGTGGAGATACTCCTGTGGTAATCTCTTTTCAAAGCATGGTGATTTTTGTTACTATGCTACGTTTCTGTATTAAACCTGGTTGCCGTGAACTCCCAAACTCTAAAAATATTATTTTGGTTTAACCAGGTGTTAGTTTGACATTTACTGACGAAGAAGGCGCGTTAGATTTAGTGGTGCTGCCGTATTTATGAACTTTTAATAATGGATAAAAATTCATCGTGCTAACCTTACCTGAATACTGAAATAGCTCATGGCTTATTCTTAATATCGTATTGACTGGCAATAGCAGGTCCTTAGCATTGATCAGGTTCTCGCATCAGTCCGGCAAATGATAAACGTAATTCGGGCAAAAATTGGGAGAAATAACTTGAAAAAGAAGACATATGCAATATAGTATTTGAAAATACCAGAAATATGTAAAAGTAACGTCGAATTTCGACAAATAGTAAAAATATTTCGTCAACCCCCACAACAATTTTGGAAAGTTTACACGGGAAATATTTTTCAGTAAGTCGGGCACAATGGGAAAAAGTCGAGTAAATTTCTTGCTGGCCCCCCTGATTTTTTCCTCCCGTTCGCCTATGATCATATAAAGATTTATTATCCCAGTAATGACAATGTAATATCTGGTGGTGTTTCACAATATTTATCCCCGAGAGGGAACTAATTCCTCACGGTCATTTACCCCCGGGAAAAGGAAAGCTGCTAGCCGTTTCAAAAGTGGAGTAGTGGAAGGTAGTGGGTGGTCATTTCAAAATATGGCGGATTGCCAGGAGTAGAATGAACCAACTGCTTAGATTTCAGTTGAAAACATATGGAAAGTCGTTTCATACAATGAGCTGTGAAGCGATGTTTTAAATTTTACTTTAAAAAAATGGGAAGTGATGAAATATAAAGCAAGTTTGTTTGGGGGGGTTTTTCTCGTAAACATGTACGTTGTTTTCGGGTTTTCCACTTCAATTAATAGAATCAGGAAAAAGCAAAATTATTTCCAAGAAGGAACAGTTTGATTTGAACTGATTTCAAAGTTATGAAGGGAGATTTCATTTCCATTTTACCAGGCGACATGATTGAATCCTAATCACGTGATCCACTGAATAGCGGCATCCCATTCCCAGCAGCACAATGCTGATGCAAATCTTAGAAGTTCTTTCGTCACGCAATCTTTAATAGAAAGGACTTCTGGAACGCACAGTGCATTGTGGGATGCTTTCGGGTTAATAATTTATTGTTTGAAAGTTACATGACGTAAGCACTTCTAAGGTGCATTTCAATGCTTTTTTCTAGTTTTTTGCCCGTTCAAGTTGGACCTTGCCTTTCTCGTAGACACTTCTAATTCAATCAATGCAAATGATTCCGTGGCAGTCAAGCAGTTTATGATTGAAACTATCGGTAGAATGGAAATTGGTCCAACCGGTAATCATATTGCTGCAATATCATTTGGAAACACTGCTGAAGTATTCATGGGTTTCAACACCGTCACTGGCGCAAACTTAAATCGAAGTAATCTTATAAATCAGTTCGCTAATTTCCCCCAAAATGGTGGCTTGACAAGGGTCGATCTTGCATTGCTTCTGGCGGAAACAGATATTTTTACAGCATCAAATGGCATGAGAACTGATGCTGATGTAAGAAAGGTAACCGTTTGAATCATTTAATATTTATACACATAGACTCCTTACGTAAATAAGTTAGCGCGTTGCCTCTTGTCATCAGCTACCAGTCGTCAACCATTTTAAGGCGATCTTCAGGCAATGC